TGTTGAAGTAGCAAGGTAAGAGGCGTTGGGCACACGGTGTGGAAGGGGTCTGCGTTCGGCACTACCCACCTTCGCTATTCGTGTAGGAATGAGGCTAAGAACTGCTGAGCGATGCGTATTCTGAGGAGATTGGGCAGAGAAAGACAGATTGTACTGTTAGTATTGTTCCATTTTGGATGGCATGATGTCCATGCCCATTGCCAACGGAATTGTTGAGGAAAGCATGATAAGACGGTAAAGCACGACTATTGAGTGATTTGTACAGCGAATAAACTGTCTTGTAGACGTCATTTTCTTCTTCTTCTTCTTCTTATTCTGCTTTTCAATCTCGTCACCCATAAACACGCATGCAATGCAAATCGCATGTCCAAAACGCGTTCAGTGAGGCAATGACCGTGCGGTCATCCGTAAGTGCCCCTCCGTGTTACCCTTCTCGCCTCTTCTGCATGCATTTTGAGGGCGTTTGTGCAATCGGCAATGCCCTATTGCTCATCCGACTTAATGCGTTGGGCACTGGCTCGAGTTGCCGCGCCACAGTAGTGTGCATTGTGCTCTCCACTGCGCATTTAATGCGCACTGACGGCACACACAGTGTGATGAGGGCGAGTGTGTTGTGGAGAGTAGGGAAAGAAGGAGGGGGAGGCTGAGGGTAGGCAGAATTAGTTGGGAAGGGAAGTGTGATGGGTGAGTAGACATGACTGGTGGTGCCCGTCAATTGCAAAGGTGTGAGGTAGGCAGACACTGAGTCGTGTGTCCCACCTCCTTCCTGAGGAGATAAAGGTAAGGGGAAAATGGAACGGGAAAGGAAGATAAAGAAGAAGAAAAAGAAGGAGTGGAAGTGTAGGGTATAGAGATGTCAGTTTCAAGTTGGTCGCCAAAGATGTCATCATTAGCGAAGAGACTGTAACACACTTGCAGCACGTCGACTCACCTGACAGTGATGCTGCTCAAATTCTCCTCCCTTATTTATGCGCACATCTTCTTCTCTCGTAGGTGGCACTAGGCGCAGCTGTTGACAGTCCCAATTCCTGCTTTCTCTTACCACGCGTAGCATTGCTCTCACCCACTTATCAACGTCATCCAAATGCTTTAGCCAATGCGATGCGAAGTCAGTGTTCCGAAAGGCACCACCTTGTCATGCTCATCGTGGCATTGTCAATTCGAGGAAATGCTAACCCTGAGACTCCCTTCTATTCCGTTCACCTGCTTGATGATTGGATGTGTATGCAACGTATTCCGGTATGCTGAATTCCACAATACACTACCACCACACTATTCAAATCCATCGCGCAGCAGGTGGCCTTCGCACAACACTCCACGGAAATCGCAATACAAACAAAACCCATTGCATTCGAGCGCATTCCATCGTCTATCGCGCATAACTCGCCCGTCACCTACTTAAGCGACGGTGTGTACAACAGCAGAATGGATGACACCCACAGAATGTAGTCATCAAGGACACAGCCGTGACAATCGAATCCGTCACTCCGATATCTGCGGTCAGTTTAACACCCAAGTTTAGGCAGCATTCAAGTTATTTCTCGCATCTACATAAAATGAAGTGGATGTGTTAGTGCATGGAGGTGAATGAAGGAACAAGAAGTGGGGACATGCGTGCCTGCTTCACTACTACTACTGCTGGTGGTGGTGGTGGTGTTGGTGGTGGTGGTGTTTTCATTAGTTGGACCAAGTTGGAAGAGGTTGAAGACGAAGGAGGATTGAGCACCATCCTCACCAACATGGCATTGCTAACTCAATCAACTGGACGGCATTTTATATTGGACCTACTCTGTAATGCTGCCACAGCCACACTGGAGACTATCGTGAATGGAACGGAACACTGCAACAGTGATTTCTCGCATGTCTACATGCGTTGTCCTCCGTAAGTTGTTGCATGCCCCACCATGTGATGCGGCTACCACTGTCCCTACAGGATGAGTCTTGAGGGGGACCTCTACACCTCACAACATGCCGAACAACTCTAGTCGCTCGCATTGGCAGTAGCCACGTGTTGCACAACACGCGTATACATGTGATGGCTTACAGCGGTAGGCAGGATGTGTGCGCCTCCTCTGACCAACTGCTGCCTCTAACTGCAAACACTATGTTTACTGCGATACTTCTGCTACG